GAAATATAAATTAGAATTGGCCTTATATTTCTTAAGCAGCTAGGTCAAGAGCTGCATAGCAATTAAACCTCAAAACTCAATTGTTGAATTAGTGGCTTTGAAAAGAAAAGTTAATCAAAATTAAAAAGTTTTGAGTAAGCAACTGAAAAGAAGTAGGAATCTAACTAAAAGATGTAAATCAAAATTAACTAAAATAATATCATTCCTAACAGAACATTGGACTTATAGTACGCCATGGAGTCACGTAATACATTTTTACCGGCACTCGTAGAAGAAATACCGAAACCCTGTTGTGTCTAAATCTAGACCAGACCCGTTTCCTTTACTTTATTAGACTCCAAAGAGAATCTTTCAGTCATTTATCAATTTTAATAATTTAATTATAAATAATATAATATGCACTTTTTTTTTGTTTGCGGAATGTAGATAGTATCGACTGCTACAGTGTGAGAATAATAAATAAGATTTTCACCACAGCCTTCAAATTTAGTATAGAAAACCTCATTCCAGTAATTAATGGAGGGAGATGGGATCAAAAGGCTTAGTACCTGAATCTTTGTTTTTTTACGACAGAAGGGAGGTATTTTAAAAGGGTGTGGTTACGATGAGTTTATTTATTAATACTATAGCCGTGAAATGGTTCAACAGCCGGTACTACGGCCAGAAGACTCCTATTGTACCAAATTCAATACTGATTACATAAAGCCCTTAGAGCTTATGAAATAAGTTTCTTCTATATGTTGTTAAAGCTGGACAGTCACAAAGAACATGCATAGTTGTTTCCGTAGTTTTCTCATCTTCAAGGCATAATCTGCATTCCGAATTAGCGAATAATCGCAGTTCATGAAGAGATAGATGCGTTAGTTGTAGGCTCTGTAATCAGTAAGAGGGTAAGGGGGGTGTCACTTAATTTTTAAAATTATATTTTTACTGACATAGTAATTCATGTATTTAATAATTGTTTGGTCGTTTAAAACTGAAGGAGTCCCACGGTGGGTCGTAACAACAATTTTAACATAATGAATAATAGTTTTTAAGCATATCTCTGTCGAATTTGTTTACTTTTAAATTAAATATCGTTTATGTGAATTGATTTTGTCTTTTCAAAGATTTTTAGAGAATACTTTCATAAATTCATTGATTTCTTTATTCTTTTCAAGTACTTAAAGGCACCTTATTTACCGACATATCTACCCACAATGTCATTTATATATCTGTTTCGTCTATGAAATTATTTTCTTTTCTTTTACTTATATTTTTTATTTTTTTTTGAAATATCAATTTAAGTGTCACTTTAATTATTACTGTATTCCGTTTACATTATAGTAAATGCCTCCTGCAATTTATTTTCGTTATGCACATAGCCTTCAAACGTCAAGATGCAATGATGTCAACGATGTCAACTAAGATATTTTAGCT